CCTAAGCATGCAAAAGCTTGATCATGCCTATATATGGTCTGTTCATGAATTCCCCAAAAACATCATATAATTATGTTTAAAACATAATTGGCCAAGATCCAGTATGGCAACAAGTGGAAAAGAAAGTACTATTTGCAGATGTCTTCAATGACATGCAAATCCTGATGTAAGAAATGAAGGCAGTGAAAAAAGTGACTGCTCTTTTTGATCTGCATGTTGGAACAAAATCTCTGTCAAATAATTTATTTTTCTTTTGCATGCTTCTACTACAAACCGAAGAAGAATTTTTTCCCATGGGTGGCAGAATACTAGCTATTTAGATTCCTGACAGTCAGAACCAGTGGGGATACTTCAAAGTATGATATTATGGAGTGAACTGCTAGATCAGTAAAATCACTGAACACAATCTATACCAATCTTTCATGGATAAAAATAGGGAGATGTTTCTAACACTCATATTTTTATCCCAAGAATCTTTGCCTAAGGCATACCAGATGATATTCCATTGATGTCCTCCACTGATGGAAGGTCCCTGTCAGCAAAACTGGGAAAAGGATGAATTTTTGTGACACTTCTCCAACCATCTGACTCCTCTCCCCTCCAACACCAAAATCTGCTCTGGAGGATTGGATACAGCACAGATTGGTGTGCTCGCAAAGAGAGATTGCCCCAAATGCCCTCCCTTCTCAATACTTGGGTGGACTGAATTCCTTCCATCAGTGTAGGTCATCAATGTGACTTTAAAGATGCATCTATTTTCATTTTAAATATCCCATATGAACCGTGGCTGTGGAAAGAAGGATTAACAACAACAACAATTTTATTTCTTACCTGCTTCTTGTCATGACTCCATATCAGTGTTCTCAACCTGTGGGTCCCCTGGTGTTTTCACATACAGTTCCCAGAAATCCCAGCCAGTTTACCAGGATTTCTGGGAGTTGAAGGCCAAAACATCTGGGGACCCAAGGGTTGAGAACCATTGCTCCATATTTCCTCTAAAATAGTTTTATCTGTGCTAACTGGAGATTTTTAATACCACCGATTGCTTGGAATGGAGAGGTAGAAGACTCACAGTTAGTCGTGGAGGGATTAAATCTTTCTCTCTCAGTTGATAGTCCACAACCTAGATCACCCACCTGCTTGCTCCATCCATTCTTTCTATTCAGTGAAATTAATGTAGAAAAAATGGGCAACTTGGAAGTCCCCGAATTGACTCAGAAGCAGAGTGGGCAGATCAAAAGATAACCTGGCAAAATGGTACTACCTAGAAGACTCCCCCACCTTGTACAACTGTGGAGCAGAACAAACAACTCCACATCTGTATGCTTGCCCACAATGTCCTGCCTCATGCACAGAAGAAGAATTATTTGAAGCTACAGACAATGAGGTTGCTTTGCCCATTTTTGGTCAAAAACTATTTAGCCACTTGCACTCCCACTATTTTATCAGTTTTATACTTATTTATGCAATGCTTTTGACACAAAATATAAATATATTTAATGTAATATGACCGTAAAAAAGCCCAGCTTTCAAAATTCTGTATGCTTGAAGTCTTTCCTGTGAAATTATGAATATTTCACATTTTCAAAAACCAGTCTTGCTTAAATGTTTGGTAATTTTAACTCAAATGCCAAATACATTTCCATGGGGTTCTTTCTGGGTATGGATAAAATGCTTCAGAAAATAGCTGAAAGAACGATCGTCTGGAATCTGAGGTGCAATCAAAGCCATTCAAGCTTGTAAAAGAAGCTTAAGTTATATTTTCGTACACAGTGGGAATGAGATGCATGTGTTTACTTTCAATTATGGACAGAGGCGATGATATTGCATCGCAAAGCTCTGAAAAGGAGAGGAATGTCATAATCATTTTGAATGGTGAAAAACAATTAGCCTCTCAAGCAAAATTGCCACCACTTGCAATTTATCTCTTTGTTTCTATTTAATTTCTTAGCATAGTTCAAAGCGAACATCACTTTCTTTCTATCCTTGGCAACACCATGCCTTTGTAAAAGTACAAAACCAGCTGTAATGTGGTCTTGAAGTGCCCTGAGTACTTCACTCTAGAAGAAAAGGTTTCCAAACCATAGTTTCCTCATCACTATTTTCTAACTACAAGCTCAGCAAGAATCTGGCTCATTGCTCCTGCACCTGGAAGGAACGGGGACATGTAGGCTGTCTGTGTGGCAGGGGGAGAGAAATCAATCAGGGTGTCTATTCTTATGGTTCACCCCAGTGAAGAGAATGGTGGAGTGGCTTTTGGCAATCTACATCCTATGGAAGAAGGCCAGCACTCTAAACTCATAATCAGCTCACATAGAATAGTTCGCCCTTAATTAGTAGCCAACTTACTATATCATACATCGGAATAGAACTGTTAAGATATTAGTGAAACATTGGATTCCTTCCATCACAAAAGGAAATCCTGCAGTGGAAAATCCTGTGGGATCATGAGAAAATAATAACACTGGTCAACACACAGTGCTTCAAATGTTATGTCTGTTTCTGGGTATATTTGTTCTGCCCAAAAATGGCACCAGTTTTCCCCTATTAGCTCTAATGTTTGAGATACAGAACATATGCCATATACCCGTCTTTATCTGCTCACCTACAAAAAAATAATGATACTCATCATTGGATAGAGCAAATGCAGTCTATCCAATGCAATTTTCTGACTTCAGTCTGTCCCCGAATATCCCCAGAATGGGTTAATTGTCAGGCTGTGTAATATTTAATATTTGACATATCATGTAGGATAATTTATTCTATGTGCCTTCCTAGGTCTGTTTCTAGTTAAAATTCCCTGCAAACACAGAAGAAGATGGGGTAAGCAGATGGAAGAAATCTAAATTAGTAATCTTGACTGACTCACTTCAGAGACTCCGAGAGGAGAACACTCTTTCAATGTTCTCCATCAGGGACAGTTACAGGGGACCCTAAGCAAGATCCCTTCTTATATATTCCCCTTTCTTTTAATGAGCCTTTTCAGCCAGTACATAGTCAAACAAGGTAGGGTATTCTGGGATCTGTAGTTCAAAAAGTAACTTTTCTAAACTCTGCATGTCTGCATGTGCCTTCAAGTTGCCTGTTGAGTTATGATGACTCCTTGAATTTCATAGGCAAGAAATACTCAGAGATGGCTTCACCAGTTCCATCCTCTGAAATATAGCCCAGAGCAGCTGGTATTTCTTGATGGTTTCCTAACCAAGAATTAACCAAGGCTAACCCTGCTTAGCTTCCAAACTCAGATGGTATCTGGTGCCTTTAGTGTTTTCAGCCCTTTGCTGTGCACTATATTAGGTCCAGAGAGAGAAAGCCTATGGATTAACAATGTTGAGAGAGGAAATGAATTCATCTCTATCAAACCCTTCTACTGGTGTGGCGCCAACACTGCCAAATCTAGTGGAAAAACTTAGGGAAGGCATATTTCACTGTTCCTCAAATTGTTTCTGGAAACAATGTTGTGAGTTTTGTATTTTTACCATGATTTGCAGAGATAAAGTTATATAACTTGCACTTTCAGTTTTCGAACAAAGAAACATGATACAATCCTGTTTATTTCCTAAATTTCCATGTTTACAACTGTAGCACACAGATATAGTGCCATAATATGTTACTTTTGGGGAATTACAAAAGTGTAAAGAGGGGTTCAATTTCTGTATAACAGGCATGGGCAAACTTTCGCCCTCCAGTTATGCGGGTTGAAGTCCAAAACATCTGGAGGGCCAAAGAGTGTCCATGCCTGGTCTATAATGTAAGGACTTGGAACAATCTTTGTGTGAAAATGGCAACATGAATATATTCATTTTCATTGTTGCTGTATGACCCCCATATCCACAGGGGATACATTTAAGGCACACACACAGACAGATATGTGAAACCATGGATTACAGTGAACTGTATAGTTTGACTGTAATTGAACCATAAGTATCATAGGATCTCTCTGCAGGACCTAGAGAGACTCACCATCACTTCGGGGGGAGGGGTATATTTTGGAGCAGAGCTAAGTGAAACTGTGGATATTAAATCCATAGATAAAAGGATCATCGGGTAATTTAGAAGGTTGAAATAGTTTCCTTATAGGATTTTGAAGAGATTTCATTTCATGCAATTTATTTATTTATTTATTTATTTGCTGTATTTATATACTGCCTGTCTCACCCCTGGAGGGACTCAAGGTGGTTTTCAACATACAAATGGCAAAAATTCAATGCCAACATACAGTGCACAAAGAAATCATAATAACTAATTACTATATATAACAATGAACTTAAAATCAATGAAAAGCATTAAACATAAGACATACATAAAATTTAAACATTTAGACAACACATAACAAACTCTTAAAAACTGTAAAAACAATAAAAAATAATACATAGGTAACATTTCTTAAAATGTGTATACATTTCTTAAAATGTGTATACATTTTGCCCCCTTCCCTGAATAGTAAGTAATCCAAGGAGATTCCCTCAATCTTTTCTAATTGGCAAGTAAGCTTTGGAATGATCCATACAACAAATAATTCATAAAATAACTATGCAAACTTTGATCATCTTAACATCTATAATCTGGATATGTGGAACAAATAAATGTTGAGGACAATTTTTCAGGGATTTTATGTAAAAAATCTACCTGCCTTTTCCCTTATCAAAACTTAAGCAGATCTACCCCCCCCCCTTCCAAAAAAGAAGAAGATAGGTTTATTTAGTGAAACTGTTTTTTAATGCAGAAAGCCGCAAACATTCTGCTTCCAAACAGCAGAAAGCTTACGTTTTAGTGTGCAGCAAATGTAAGTAACACAGAATATTTCTACTCAAAGAGTTCTTTCAGTCTGTAAAATTGGTTTTGGCAATTGCTTTCCTAGGAAACTTGCTACAACATGCAGGGTAGAAGCAGCTGATAAGCATGATTAGCCGTGACACTTTATTCAATTTAGTTTTGTGTTAGGAACTAATTGCCTAGTTGGGAAAGGGGAAGTGGGACATGTTTGTTAATATGCTTACCCGTGGGCCCTGATCACCTTGATCTCCCTGCAAAGTGGAAAGATGAGATGATAGTTTTAACACAACATCTGTGTGCTAGCCCAGCTCTCTTAAATAATCTCACATAATAAGGTCTTAATAGCCACCAGTTCACATTTGGAGGGCTTGCAGTTATTTTGTTAGTAGCAACAGTAAGCTTACTCACCTTCTCACCTTTTGGACCAGGTGAGCCCTGAAAGAAACAGAGAAAACATCCATTAACAACTTGCAGATATACTTGCAACCCAGAAAGGCCTAACACTGACAGAAAAAGATGTAGTAGCAAAGGTGCACCTGGATCAGATCATTTTGAACATACCAAACAAAACCCTGAAAGCTCCATGATTAAAACAATGACAATTCAAGGAAGGCATTTGAAAGGCAAGAACTTTCAAAGTTTATTCTCGGGATTCTAAAGAAACTAGAAGTCGAAGGCTTTCATCGCCAGAATCACTGGGTTGTTGTGAGTTTTCCGGGCTGTATGGCCATGTTTCAGAACCAGTCTTTCCTTTTTCTGTGTGTCTTGCAACAGTTTCTCCGTGTAGAGATGTTCATTGTATTGTTGAGAGAATGCTTCTAGAACATGGCCATACAGCCCAGAATACTCGCAACAACCCAGTAGGAGTAAAGATTAAAACAAGATTTCAAATAGTGTAGTCAAAATTCATCTCAACAGTTCTGGAACACTAAGAAACTGCCTTTAAAATAGCATGGTGGTGGTGTACACTCAATGACCATTGTACTGGTATGGTAATAATTCAAGTTAAACAGTGATACTTAACCAGGCAAAGCAATGAATGTAGCATTCTCTGAATTGCTTCTAATATCCCTTACAAAACCTGAACAATAAGGCAAACACGAATTGTAATGTTGCCATATAAGACAATCGAAAGTAATGTGTAGCTGCTTCTGAATAATTTGACTGATTTCATTACAGCTATTCATCCTCAGTAATCTCTGTGTTCAATGGTATGGATATGGCTCGACCACGAAATGCCTTGGCAAACATAGCTTATGGAGATTCAGTTTTACAAATTTGTTCATGAATGCTGATAGTTCCCCTACATTGCAACAAAAGAAATCCAAGTGCTTCATTCTGAAACATTTATTGGATGCACCCAGTAGTTTTTAATGTGAAAGCACAGTGCAAAACATTTAAGCAAAGATAAGCCGCCCATAATGAGAACTGAGGATGCTTTTCCCATCCTAGAGTGTGTACAAAATGACCAAGACGGTGCTTTGTTAGCATGGGGATTCAGTCTGTATCCCTGTTTAAGCCGTTGTATTTTTCCAGCAACAGAAGGACAAGCCTAGGTTTCTAATCCATTGTTTAAGGGCAAATGATTCTGTTCCCAACAGTGAAAAACAAGATGACACCATCAAGTGTTATATATAAATACTAAACAAGCTATCAGTTGGATAGACTGTCCTTGCCATAGCGTTCAAAGTCAGTAGAGCTGAACTCTGCCTTTCATCACTGTATTCCTACTGGCCATGTTCATACTAAGCACCTACAATAATAGAAGACTGATCCAGAAAAACAAGATGACACCGTCCAATGTTATGTATAGATACCAAACAAGCATTCAAGGTCAGTAGAGCTGAACTCTGCTTTTCATCACATTATTCCTATTGGCCATGATCATACTAAGTACCAACAACAATAGAAGACTGATCTAGAACTAGACTCCCCACCCCCAAAAGTGTGCCCTCCGTATTTGCTGTGAAGTACTGGGAAACCCCAAAATTGACACTTGGCTAGTTGTGGGGTGTGTGGAATGAGAAAGAAAAGGAAAATGTCTTGTTGCAGGAGTTGTGAGGAAGGAAATCACATACACTTACAGCCCTGTAGTCAAGGTGGGACAGTGGATGTAGTACCATCCACCCCGAACTGTGTGAAACACATACCTGGATGGATGTATTTATGTTGGAGATTTTTCTTTTTAATTTGAGACATGACAGAAAATGAAAGGTACGTTTGAACCACAACTTGCTTTAAGAACAGGATCAAATAAGGAACAGAGCACTTTGAAGAATTAAGCATTAGAATGTTGCTAAAGACAACTCCTTGATCCTTCCTTTCTTCTGATTTTCAATTTCAGTTGTGTTATCTACCTAGCAAGCATAAAGAAGCATGTTTGTTTGCTGTATGTAAGAAGAGCTAGTTTATCCTACAAAGGCAACTTTTAAAAAGATACCGAGTTACATTTTATGTGCTCTCAATCACTATCTAAACCTGAAGATTTTTTTTTTTACTGTTGGTGTTGTCATGATGCAAGATTACAATCACATTTTTGCATAAACATGCTCCATATCAGTTTTTAATTTTCTGGATATAGCATAAACTGCTTTACTTGTTGTACACAATTTGGTATTCTTTCGTTCACCAATAGCCTTAATAGCCTTTTCCTTGTGAAACAAAACATATTCTAGTCATTAAATTCCTGGTGTTCATACTAAATTTTTTATTAACTTGACCTTTACATAGCCTGTGATGTAAGTTAACAAACGCCCTGGCCTGAACCTCACATTCTGTTAACTAGGAAGAGAGGGGATTAGCTGGTGCAATGCACCATACACATACATGCTGCTCTTAAATGTGTCTGTTTCACCTAGTCCTTTGGTCTATTATGTTTATGTGTTCTTTAAAATGATCCATGCATGGAAAGAGAATTTTGCAGTGACTGTCAGTTCCTGATGCAGAGGGGGCTTCTATGTGGAAGAGGAAAAAAAAGACTGAGTCTGGCATCATATGCATAATTATAGCCTATATACATTGCAATATTCCTGCATATATTGCAGCCTTTTGCAGCTCTCACCCATCTTAAAAATGACCTTTGGACACATTATTATCCCATGAACAAAATTTATTTACAAAAAAGTTTTCACCCACCTAGATGGTAATACATTTCACATCTAAATTTTGCTCAGTTTATGGATACAGGTAATTCTGGGAATTCTGCCAATCGAAAAACTGGATTGACTCATCCACAAGTCAATATGAGTACCATACTTTAACTCTTAACAAAAAGAAAATCATTTCTGGGCAAAGTGGGAAAAGGCGAGAGTTTATTCTGTCCTGGAAGAACCTTAAAAAAACATTGCTCTACTCTGTCCACACCAGTGTTGCTTCTGGCTTTTTAAAATACTTGGTCAGAAAGTAGAGGCTGTGGAATGACTCTTAACTTATCCATGCGTCATATTAAAATACATAATTTGGACCAAAACCCCTGCCCTCAACTTATGCATGAAGTCAATGTATATGTTATGTTCAGCCCTGAAAAGGTTACCAAATTAAAAATAAAATGGGACCCAGGTAAACTGCAAGATTCAGAAAAGGAGCCAGATTAGAAAATTATCAGCAGAGAGCTACTAAATGGTAGATAAAGAGAGATACTAGGTGACCATGTATACTGTGTCAAGAGAATACTCAAATGCATGCTATTTCATTTGAAATAGAATTGTGTGAAAACCTAACCCAGGTGATGAGTGTGCCTATCAAGCTAGCTAGCTATAACTGTTCATTTGTATCTACAAACTTTATTTATTCTTCCTCTTTATGGTTGTTTATGGATTTAGAATGGAGAGCCCTTCAGACATATTACGACAGTACTGTTGAATTATCCAGGCGGAGGCCACAAGGGGGCACTAGATAGAGAAGGATTGTCCATTTTAAGGGGGTGGTTGAAGGTGTTCAACCATTTTCCTGTTATATCCCCTACCTATGTCACCATCATCATTGAAACAACCATTGTTCATGATATAAGAGGAGGGGGAATAACCAATGAAAATGCTTTCCTCCTTCAACTCTCCCCCCCCCCATAAAATGGACTATCTTTCTCTGTCTAGCCCCCCTTTTGAAGTCTGCCTAGATAATGGAACACTACCACCATGCCTTATAACAGAGGTCTGATAGTACTTTACAAAGTACTATTCCTTTTAAAGTAGAACAATATGGTGGCCCCATGGCTGGAGGAAACACAAAGTTGATTAGGAAAGAATGGAAATAGAAAGATAAATCAATTCCAGCAGAAAATAATATGGAGAAATTGGAATATGGTTCATCTGTATCCTTCTTTTATAGTTTCCACACATACTCTACTGTTATGGACAATTAACTGGTGTGTATGACTTTTTTTTACAAGAGAAAAAAATGTTTCAGTTGATTGCAAACACAAACTAATGAAATCACTGCCAAGTTCAATCATAGCTTGTGTTTTTCTTCATTATAGCTTTATCCACAAGTATGAGTTACCCATTTTATGTGACACTAACATATTGTAATTGGTTTAATAGTTTACATTAACATGATCCCATGAACAGACATTAGTAAACAAACATCTGAATCTTGAACCATACGAAAAGAATTGTAATAGCAAAGACCACATTGTTTATTTCTTAAAATATTATTTTCCTTCGTGTTTCCTATGGTGTGGTTTTGACTATATTGGACTTGGCAATGGTTTTAGAAAAACATTACTCTAGATGCTATACCATGCCAACATCTTGCTTTGGATCAAATCTGCAAATGCTCATAAAAGTTTCCGGTGGTCTTATGAAGCTTTCATTTGTCCCTCAGTACTGCTTCCTCCAATTCCACATGTATAGCTGACTCCCTTTGGATTTTTCAAATGCTTTAGAAAGGAACAGAAGACTAAAATATTCTTTCATTTTTCAGTTCAGCTTTTAATGCATTTTTCTTTTAAACTTTCAGTACCAGAGGGTCATATTTTATAATGTTAAGTACTGGGCCAATAAACTTTTTATGTCCAAACAGGTTTAAACGAAAGCATCCAATTCTGACCAATTACTTAGATAGCAGTTGACATTTACTGTATTTATTGCATTGTTCTTATATAAATATTTAAGCTGTAATCCTGCTGGCAATTTTCACCATTGTAACAGTCCATTCTGAACTTTTTGCAAAGGCAGAGAAGGAGTCAATAGCTGTTGAAGAGAAAACTGTTCTGCTAGCTGCTGAGTAGCTCTGAGGTCACCATATAGCTCCATCTCATTGCAATGATAATGTTCATGGTTTCTCCTTCCTTTCTCCATCACCACTACACTACATCACAACTCTGGTCGCTACTCCATCTTCAACCATTTTACTCCTATTACGACCACTGCTGTTTCTCATTGCAACATATGCCAGTGTGTTTCTTCACATAGGTGGCACTATAGTTCTCGCAGCCC